TCGGTGGCGAAGTACTTGAAGCCCTGGCAGAAAGCGGCGCACGTCTCGAGTGTCATGTCATTGGAGGCTGTTCCCTTGCCGGTCAGGGCGCGAGAGCCGGTGCCCTCGGTCCAGCAACCGGCGTAGCTGAAGGATGATACTGTGGGCACGCGGCTGAGGGTGCCAGTCGGTGCGGCAGAGCTGGACGTGGAGGTAGAGGTCGAGGAAGAGGCGGGGGAGGAGCTAGAGCTTGACGATGCCGGGGGAGTACTGCTGGTGGCTTTACGAGGGACACAAAATGTTAGTCTTCTTGATCCTTCTCTTTCTCATCTTCTTTCTTCTCCCGCCAAAGAAAAAGAGAGTCCAATGAGGTCGGTTATGTTGCTGTCTCACCTGCCGAAGATGGGCCTGCTGAAGAAGAGGAGGAACCGGTCAGGCTGTACAGGCTGAGACGGTTGCCGGCGCCGCAGTATTCGAACTGATTTCCGGAGCAAACCATGCTGCAATCGCCGTTGGGGGCAGAGACACTGCCTGCGCCGAGGGTGTTGCCACAGAAGCCTATCACAATTGTCAGCTGCCTATGGCCAAAGCGTAATGAGAAGTTCAGTCGACTTACACTCAGCAGAGTACTCGGTGCCGAAGTACTTGAACCCAGTACAGAATGCAGCGCAAGCTTCCAAGGTCATGGCGGTGCCGGAAGCATAACTGTTGCCGGAGAGGGCTCTGCCTACAGTCGCCTCGGTCTGGCAGCCGACGTAGGTGTAGGCACCAACGGTAGGCTTGATTCCAAGGGTCTGGGTCGGTGCAGGAGTAGAAGAGGTGCTACGGGTAGCGGTAGTAGAGTAGACCTGCAGTCTGTTGCCGGCACCACAGAATGCACCGGGATCTCCCGCGCAGAGCATGTTGCAGTCGGCGACCGGAGCCTCGGAGCTGCTGGCATGAAGACTGTTCCCGCAGTAGCATTCGCGGCCGTACTCGGTACCCCACAGATCGAAACCATCGCAATCGGCGGCGCACGACTCGAGAGTCATCTCGTCATAAGCGGTAGACTTCCCATCGAGAGCACGAATACCGCCGGAACCCTCAGTCCAGCAGTCCTTGAAAGCATACCCGGCGACTGTAGGCTTGATGGTGGGGGTAGGAACACCCGTGCTGCTGCTTGTGATGCTTACAGAGGAGCTGGTCGAGCTAGCAACGCTCGAGGTAGACGAAGTAGACGAGGGAGTACTAGAGCTGGAGACGCTGGTGGGAGCGGTATCGCTGGAGCAGGTTGCGCCTCCGGTGAAAGTATTGCAAGTTCCGCCAAGGATGCTGGCCTTGTTGAAGTCGTCAGTGTAGACGGTAGAACCGGAACCAGCGTTGATGGTAAGGCGGGCATTGAAGCTAAGACCGCCAGTGATGGTGTAGCTTGCAGTGTAGAGGGTGTAGAGACCAACGCAATTGCCCTTTGTCATCGCAATAGTCGCGGTATCCAGGCGGGGGACGGGGTTGCCATCGGAACTACCGCGAGGCGTGAGGTACTCGACAACGAGGTTAACGGGAAGGTCCTCGATGTCATTGCGAATGGCGGCCGTAACCGTGAGAGCACCGGTCGTCTGAAGCAGGCAGCTCTGCGGCTTCTGGAGGACAACAGCATCTGCCAAGGGGTAAGAGTTGCCGTTGTTGTCATATGTCTGGCTGGAGCCGTCGTTGCGGTTAATTGTAACAGTAAACGAAGAGATACCAGCAGAAACAGGAATGGTCGCCTCGATAGGGAAGAAGGCAAAGGCATCGTCGAAACCAGTGGCCACACCTTGTAGAGTGGCAGTTGTCGCGCAGGTACCCGAGCCGCAGTTGTTCCCACCAGCTCTATCCTTCCACCTCAAGACGAGGTTAGTTATGGTGCTACCAGGAATCTCGGTAGTCCGAACTCTGATCTTGCCAGTCAAGAGAAAGTTGGTGCCACCCGGCTGGAGAGTCAGCTGCATATCCTGGGGCTTGACAGTATACGGAGCGATGGGTTCAGTAAGCGTCACGCCAGTTGGCACAACATCAATCATCTTCTGAAGCACCGTACGGCAAACATTGTTGTAGACCACTGGATCAGTCATGGTGCTGATGGTTACGTTCGAATCAGCGGTGAAGACCTTGAAATCGGAGTGACGCCCAACGCCGACTGCCGCACCAACAACCAGGGGGTTCGTTGTGTTTCCAGCGACGTATTCGGTGACGACCTTGTTGTCATATCCAGCACGCGTTGAGTCGAACCCACGTTGCCCCTCAGACGCAGGAATGATCTGCGGGAATTCGGCACTGTGAACTGAGCCGAGCGTGTGGCCGCATGCCACAACCTGGATCATTTCGGTCCGGGAGAAGGTCATGCGATCGAACTGTTGCACGAAGCTGAACTGGGAGTTCTGAGGCTGAGGAACACCCTGCGGGCCAGCACCTTGAGCATCGACACGGCCCATCCTCAGTGGAATAACAGGTCCGCCGCACGCCCGGACAGATGCGTAAGTGCCTGCGGCGATCAAATCGGCCAAGCTCGCCCGGCTGGAGTAGTAATGGGAGTAGAACTGAAGGGTGGTGGTGTGTCCAGGTCCGGTGTTCTCGCCGTTCTGCAGTTCGAATTGCAAGGAGCCATCGAGTCCTCCTGTGCCGCTGAAACGGTTGTGTGTTGCCATATCGCTATGATAACGTTAGCCTCCAGGTCTTGAAGGGTTTTTGAATCCACCATCGTCCAACTGCCAGCCCCTCCAGCTCCGAGAAGCAGTCACTCCCGGCCTTGCGCATCCGATCACCCGTTAAGGTTCCGTTGCAGCGCCTTTCACGGCTTCATTCACCAAGGCCTTCCCTAGCCAACCGAGCTACTACGGTACTGGACCATCCGACTCCATAATATCTCGAAAAGCACCTACTGAAAAGCCACACGCAGCCACTCACTAGCCGTAACACGTCCCGGCCCAGCAGCCTCATTGTTGCAAGGGTTGATGTTGTCGTTGAACAAGCTGCCGTCGACTCCTTGAAGCTGGAAAACAATCTCCTCCATCTGATCGGTAGGGGCGGGCCATGTCGGGTCAGCCTTGCCAGTCCTGGCCGCGAGCGACAGCAGGCCGGCGAAGAGAGGTGCTTTGGTTCTCATTTTGACTGGTACTCGGGGTATCAAAACATTAGGATTAGGTTCGACAGGGTGAATAGTCCCGTTGTGATCGGGGTCTTATAAGCGAGCGACTGTAGAAAATCAGGGCGACAGAAAGAACACAAGCTGGAAGCGCGTGATCCCAACTTTGCGACGACAACTCGACCGAGTGAACGGACAGAAGTCAGTGAGGCCCGACGAGAAAAAGCGAGTGTGGGTAAGGTCCAACAAAATAGAGGAACCGTTAAAAAGAGAGAGAAGAGGAGAAGAAAGAGGAGAAGAAAGAGGAGCCAGCACGACGGCGATAAGCAAGATGCATTTCGCAAAATCCTCGCTCTCTTTTCTCCCCCCTTCTCAGCACAAGACCCACGCGAAGTTGCTGCAGCGAATGCCCAGAGCTGAGGTTGCTGGTGTGGCCGCATGAACCCTGCACATTCCCCTTGAGAACCCTGGTGATCCCAAGTGATTACGAACCCCTGTGAGTGGCAGATCCGAGAAAAAACAGCGGATCCCGCACATCCCAGCACGCCCAGCAATCTGCCCCCCCTGTCCAATTCGTATTGAAAAGCGTCCAAAAGGGCGCAGCTCATTGGCCAGACCGAAGAACTTGGGGCTTTCCAGCCGCACTGGATGCCCACTTTCGTCGGCTTCGATCGGTGGGGTCACGGGGGTGTGGTGGGCTTCTGGCATGATGGGGGATGCACCAAGCTGTCACTATTGAACGCCAGTCGCTGTTCGTAACTTCTGGGCGGCATGTTGTTGTCCCGAAGAGGTGAAGAGGCAAAAGCACGGCCACGTCTGAGAATGAAGTGAATGGAGCCGAACTAGCCGTAGGGTTGAAGCGCTACCCATGCTCTGGGGTTGGTTTTCTTCTTTTTCTCGTTCGGAGGTCTGTGAGGTGTTTTGCATTCTGGGGAAGTTCTCTGCAATCGGCCGTTGGTGCCTCGGGACTAAACGGTGTGGCGGATTCTATTTTCGAGAATTTCTTCAATATTCCTGGCGTTCGTACTGCTTGACCACAATGGAACCGGGAGGGTGTGCCGAGCTGCCCGTGCTAGGCGTTGGATTAAAAAAGTAGAATATTGATTGCTGACTGTTGGAGAATTGAACAACTTTCTTGTCGTTGATGTTCAGCTCGTGGCCTCGACAATGTTCTGGGCTTCTTGGCGGGGCTGAATGATCTCCTTGTGATGGGGTCTTTTTCCCAATGGTTTTCGAGATTCCGGACCGAATTTGAAAGGTCTTGGCACGCCGCCTTCGCCCAGCTTCCCTTGCTGGATGGATTCGCCCAACGATCGTGCCCGTTCCCGTCTCTACGCCGCATCCCCGGACCCACTGTCCCAAATACCGACAGTGTTTGGATATCAACCAACAATTCTTCCGATTCGGGGAGTTTTCGCAAGTCTGTAACATTTTCGGTGGTAGTAGTCGAGACCCTCTATGTGGGATGCGGCTATCCGTAGAACTTCGAATATTCCCGTGGAAGGTCTTACTACAATTGAGATCAGCAAGACATCGGGGAGTGTCTGAGACTCGCAGACTTACTGAGACAGTCGGCTATTATTCTTAGCCACTTATACGGTCCAGGCGAGACAATTTGAAGGTGCATATAAGTAGCGAGCGCTTACGGGATGTTGGTTTCTGCGACTCTGCAATGGTCCGGCTTCCTTCTATGTAAAGAAGTAAGACTGCAATGGCGAAGTTGCCTCGTTGATTGGGGCAAAGATGATACAACTAAACAGTCTTGCCGATGAAGCAGTGTAACTAACAGTTGGAGAAATCGAAAGACAATGAACGGAATGAGTGGAGAAAAAGATTGGGGGTGCTTCAAACAGGCAACTCGAAGCTGAAGGTTCAGGGGCGAAAAAAGAAGGTGTGAAGGAAAAAAGAGAGCAAACAAGAATACCCTCTCCGGGAATCGAACCCGGCGCAACGGAATGAGAATCCGCTATGTTAACCGATACACCAAGAGGGTTGTTCAGTAGCTCTCTGGCTTCTTGTTGGAAGACAAGGACGGGAAACAGAATGATATGGTGCAAGCAGGTGTGTAGGGAAGGTGCGGAGGGTTATGAGAGTGTCGGTGGTGGGCGTGGAAGGGAAGGAATGGGCGCATGGCGGCTACCTGCCGCAGAGGATATGTGCAATCACCAAGAGGTCCAGTGGTCACTGGCTACCGTATCTGGTAGGTCAGGCTGGCCTGAACGGGTTGCTGCAGCAAAGCAAGGGGATCAAAATCGGGGATCAAGTTTGGCATATCGATTTGTGTTGATCAAACCTGGTGAGTTGAGCATCTATACCTACCCTTTCCCTGGAATCTGAATGACAGCAGTGTCGGGGTGCCAGGAGCACAGTATGGGCACTAAGAAGGGTCACGGTGTTGGCAAAGACAAACGACAAATGATAATTGTTGGAGCAAGCCTGAGGCCAAAGAGATCAAGCTTCTTCATAAACATACAAAGTTGAGTTATGCTCGTCTGGTAGAAAGTATAGACGCATCTTCCCATCGACTAGAGCCACATCCATCGGATTCTTTGTAACCAACGTTCCTTTCTCCGATTTGAGTGTCAGGGGAACTTCATACAAAGGCACCATCGTCTCCATGTCTACCAGCGCAATCCCACCGATCGTCACGCCATAGATACTTGTAATTCCCGAACACAACATCACCGGTCGAAATCCATACCGTTGAGAATGCCCCAAAAACTTGCAATCCTGGTAGTCAGTGTAATGACTTGGGTTCTTGATCACAGCTCTGGCCGCTGTAAACTCTGGGGGGTTATTTGACCCGTACTTCCGATCCCAGATCGAAGCTGCCCGACCTCCCCAGTTCAGCGTCAAGAGGTTTCCGGTGGTCAAGTCATGGACAACGGCACCCATGTGATCTGCAATCCGTAGGATGGGCTCCGGCTCCAGAGTGTCAGGGCGCATTCTGACAAGAGTAGCGGTGGAGTTTGGTCGGTACTGGGAGAGAGTTGCCCAGATGTACGTCCCGTCATATTCGATGCCGCCATTGTGATACTTGTTCTTGACATCAGCTCCTCAGCTCACAGCACAGAAGCGACGAAAGTAACTTACCTCAAGAGACCCAGGTTCAGTGATGGTAGCGTCCGCAATTCGGGTACCCTTCCCATCAAACACCATCATATGCGCAAACCCCTCACCAGCGCTCCTGTCTGTGCCACCAATCGTGGATCCGTAAGGCGAAGTCCGCACTATCCATTCACCGGCAGACACAAAATATCGATCATGACCCAAACGCACCAAGCCTTCTGGCTCGTAGGTGTCCCCTTCGAATTTGACGGTTTCTACCAGGTTCCAATTTGTCGAACGGCTCAGCTCAGCAAACTGGCGAATAATTTCTTCCCCGTGGGAAGAGCCTCCGGGCAGAGGTAATCGTGAGTGTGCCAGTGGGACATCGGCTTGGTGAACCGTGATGTTGACATTCGGCGATATCAGGGGGTTGTTCACTGACGTAAACAAAGCTAACACTGCCGTGGAGGCTTTGGTGGCTGCTGACCCAAAGACCTTTTGCATGTTGATGTGGGGAAGGATTTCCAGCCCGTGAAACTGTTGTGCAATTAAGCTTATTTTGACTTAGACAACCTAGTGAGACAAAGGAGCCTACAAATAAGCGAATCGTAAAATTCGTTGAACAACGCCACTATGATCACACCTAAAATGATTCTGTGTTATGGAGATGGATGTTCACTTTTTGTTGTCAGTGCATGGCCCAGATCCATGGCATCTAACGAACCGTTGGAGTTTCTCCAACATCTTGCATCTCCGTCTACCTACAAAGTGGAGCTTTCCGGGATTTTACCCCAAGCCTCCCCCCTTGTTATTTTAATCTTCCTGAAGCTCTCACAAAGATCCCAAGTTGAAGATCAAAGCCCTGGAGAATGACCTGGAAGTCATTATATCGAAAAATTCTAGACCCTTTTGCACATATGAGACAATTGACAATAACACAGTTTGTCACGTTATCAAAGTCAACCCTCTACATCACCATAGCATACTGTTCCTACTTTGTTCCAAGTTCTCGCTGGAATAACTGGTGAACTAAAAAGAATTCCAGGATCAGTTGTGCTTTCCTTCTCATGGTCTTTCCGTTCAAGACTTGGAGCCTGACTCATCTGATTGCCAGCCTGAGTGGACTCATCCGGGCATCTCAGCGAGTTGAACTTGAGGGAGCACATGCTCAACCTGGGTGGCACTTGCCCTTCATGTTGAGGGAGAAACACAGAAGAATGGCGTGATCAAGCTGTTAAGCCTGGCTGGGCCTTGCTTTGAATAATAGATTCCATTCGAATTGATACCTTGAGTTCTGACACCGTTCATTGCAGAGATTCTGGTCCATCAAGTCTGCGCCCGCACCAGGCTGAAGGCTATCTCCAAACCACACCGATTTCAGTCTTCCAGACCCAATTCTCCAAGATGTCGAAGCGTACCAAAAGTTAGTGATATCACCTCTCTAACCTCTATTCCAAGAGCAATAGCTGACAGAGCTGTTCACAGAGGTCGGTTGCTCCGGCAAGTACGGTAATAGATATGGAGCCTCCCTCCGTAAACAGGTCAAGCGTCTCGAGATTCCCCAGCATGCCCGATATCTCTGGTATGTCTGCTGTAGCATGATCCCCTTCTGTTTGGGTAGGTGACTGACCTGGAAACCAGCACCTTTTGCGGTAAGAATACCACCAAACGCGTTTCCACCGGTATTTGGCACTGCAAGGCCTGCAACAAGACACTTGCCGGAGGAGCGTATATTCTGGCGTAAGGGCCCCCATCTTCATTTCCAGCCAAAATATGAACACTTGCTGACACATCTCGGCGATCCTGTAGAACCCCCGCAGCGTCGACAGCCAGAAGCACACTCCGCCGACTGCGTGAGCTCCAGGCCACCACTACCAACAAGTGATGTCTTGGAGACGGAGGTGCCATAGGTATATATGCCACAGTTGCTTTACATAGGGGCGAGCGGGACCCCATTTTTGGAGGAAGTTGATGAGACAGCTGTCATCGGTGTGAATGGAACGGCCAATGTAGGACAAATGCGAGCCATCTGTCACCACAAAGCTCGCTGCTATTGTGTCCCCTTAATTTATGATCACTATCTGTCTTCATGTCAACGTTTGTTTTGCGACACCGAGACATCGACTGGAAGGAGCATCAACTCATAGAGCATGGAACAAAGGTGGAAAGGTGAGGAAGTGCTAGGATGCTTGCTCGCGTTTTGTTACTTTAATCCATTAGAGAGTATAGGCAGGGAAAACGACATGAAGAAATCGACAAAAGTAGCCCAGCAGTGCCTACAACATGGATCGTCAGAAGTGGCATGGCCGTACAGAGACAAAGTTCAGGGACGGATATATGCCGAGTTCTGGTCCATCTCTGCATCAAAGGATATGGGCTGACCAGGTCCGAGTCTTTGAAGAGACCAGAACCTAGATATCCTGAGGGCAATGGTACGAGAGATTCTTTGGGGTCGTAGACCTGGACGTGAAAAAGGGCTGAGCATGCAGAACTAGGAAGACGGAACTTTGGAAGACATGAGGGTCACTACACGGTCCTGTCTTGTTGAGGAACAAGCTGAAATCGCTCTGAGGACAGCCTGACTATGCAGTGATGCGGACGGCATGCATCGCTGCAACGACTCAGGCACACGGGAAATCCACATCGTCTCCGGGAGTTACGGACACTCTGATGATCCAGGATCCGCTCACCCGAGTCTGGCGTTTGGTAAGCGAATCGTCGTTGCACAGAGATGCTATCAAACCATCCGTCCGAAGTGTATCGTGTCTCTTCGGCAGTCTCCAACGGTGGAGCTACGGGATGTCGGGAAGTTGCGGGGTTGCATGTTGATCTCAGATCACAGCCTCGGTTTTTGTGAGGAAGCCAGGTTGAATAAGCTCCGTGATCTGATCGGGCTAATGACGATCCACCTGGCAGTGCATCAGTTACAGACATCGGAATCGTCCGACAGATCCTTCGACAGACTTATTGGAGCGGGTGTTCACATTGATGAAACCTGGAAATTAAGGAGCCGACAATAGTGTCACATGTAGTGGTTTCCATGGCTTGCCGGACGCGAGAGGAATCATCATATCACTGCAGGCGGGACAAGCGCCACGCGTCCTTCCGTTCTGCCTGGCCCAGGGCTGCCATCAAGAGCTTGGATTAGATACAACGGACTCCGCTCGGGATGCCTAGCTAGGTAAGTAGGTACGGCCATGAAGAGATTCAGTCCAACATGTCAACCGATAGGCGATCGATGGACTCGGAGAATGTTGTCCAGTCTTTTTTTTAGGCGGCAGTACTGGACGAAGTGGACAACATTGATGGATCTCTGCAGCGGTGAAGAAAGAGTGTGTCTGACCAGACAGAAAGCCATGAATGGAAGCCATGCTCCCGAATCTGGAAAGTGGATGTGGTGTAAGTGCCTAACACCAAATGCCGCGAGTTCGCTAGAATAAGTGTTAGTCAGTAATGCTCAGCCTTCCCGATTTGGTGATGCCGAGCTCTGAGTCGAGGAGTGGAATGCCACATCGGGCACTGTTGTCAGCTTCAACCAATCCATGAAAACCCCGGCTTCCACGATGATTCCTCCGCTGGTGGTCAGCTGTTTGCCTTCCATCCACTGTGTTTGGTCTGATTCCCGTGTTACGTTAATATTGGGAAGCTGCACATCATCGAGATCATGCCAGTTCACGCTTGCCGATGGTAACCATGGGCAAGCCCAGCAGGAACGCAGCCTGCTAGTATAGGTACTGCACTTGCAATCCGAGGTTCATGCGAACTTGTGAATCACCCCGCCCTGAACAATGCACAATAAAGCACATGATAAAACTTTGGGACCAATTTACAAAATAGTACTGAAGTAGGATTGCACATATTGGCAAATCGGCTGCATCGCATGGCCTCGGATGTCCAGGTGCCCCTGGCGAACTGGAAGAAGCTGTGTTGGAAAGAAGCTTTCGG